TAACTCGTCTGATTTTCACTTTTCATTTTCCGGTTTAATCTCGCTGGCTCGCTATTTTGCTCGCTATGGAAACTGATCGCGTAGATTCTGACGTTCAGATCGGCACAGTTACGCTTCCGATCGCACCTTTTCACGAGACTAATCCTAAGTCTTGGTTTGGTCAGCTAGAGTCGCAATTTGCTTTGCGTGGTATTAGGTCCGAAAAGACCAAGTTCCACCTTGTCGTTTCCGCGCTTCCGCTAAATGTCATCGATGACATTGATGACATTCTAGATCTTCCTGACAACCAAAAAACTTAAGATGCAGTCAAGACAGCTGTTCTGAGAAGAACAGGCTTATCCGATCGACAACGAGTTACGAAACTCCTCAACGGAACCGATCTTGACGATCTTAAGCCGTCTCAGCTGCTTCGAAAAATGCAGAGCCTAGCTAAACCCACTTAGATAGATGATTCTTTTCTTCGGGAAATGTGGTTGCAACGACTTCCGCGCGAGATGCTACACATCCTCTGTGCTAGTGAGTATGCACCTTTATCCAAACTGGCCGATACAGCCGACCGAATTTGGGAGTCGTACGGCCAGGTTTCGCAGGTCCAGACGAAACCGGACGACGATATCGCCACGCTTAAATCCCAGATGGCAACATTGACTCGACAATTCGCAGACTTTTCGGCCTCCGGAGATAACCGCTGTAAATGCTCTAGGAGCCGTTCGCGTTCACGTTCGAACTCTCTTTCGCGATCACCGAATAGAAACGGTTACTGTTGGTACCACGAACAATTCGGCCAGCAAGCTAAATCATGTCGCCCGCCCTGTTCCTTCAAACGACAGCAGCAGGGAAACGGGCGGACCAGCACGTAGGGGCGACAGACGTAGCTGGTCAACGCAGTCGCCTTTTCTTCGTCACCGATCGTAGAACCGGAGTTCGCTATCTCGTCGATACTGGCGCAGAAGTCAGCGTTCTCGCGCGTGATCCAAACGACCCGACCGAAAAGGTGACTAGCTCATTGCGAGCAGCTAACGGGACCATTATCCGCGTATATGGTCAACGCTCGCGCACACTAAATCTCAGCCTCCGACGCGCTTTCAAATGGATATTCCTCGTTGCGGATGTTCAAACGCCTATCCTTGGTCTCGACTTCTTACGTTATTACGACCTACTCGTCGACGTTAAGTGACACCGTCTAGTCGACCGCCTTACGTACCTCGCAGTCATTGGGACTTTGACCGACACCGCGTCAATCAGTCCCGTGTACGAGACTCAACTTAGTTCACCCGTCGGGCAAACGCAGCTCGATAGTTTTCCACAGGCCTTCCGTCCTGCCGTCCCGTTGCCTTCCGCAACCGATGCCGCGACACACCACATCGTTACGAAAGGTCCGACTGTATTCGCAAAAGCCAGGCGCATGATCCCCGACAAGCTCAAAATTGCACGCTCCGAATTCGAGCACATGCTAGACTTAGGCATTATTCGCCCGTCTAAGAGCCCGTGGGCGTCGCCTCTACACATGGTGCCTAAAACGTCAGGAGACTGGCGTCCATGTGGCGACTATCGCGCTCTTAATAACGCTACCGTCCCCGACCGCTATCCCATTCCGCACATTCAGGACATCACGGCTAGCCTACGTGGCGCCCGTGTGTTCT